GGTCGGTGGGTTGCAGGCTTGCAGTGGCAGAGCGGGTCTGGGCGGCGTCTCCCGTCGGCGTTTGGGCGGGGGTCGGCAGGAAGGCTGGGAGGGACGCAATCCAGCGCTGTAAAATGTGAGAGTTGGCCGGTTGTCGCGTGAATATTCGGCTCCAATGTTTCCCAAGCTCCTGCGCGATGTCGTGGGGCGTGCGTGCTAGATTACCGTCTGGGGTTTGGATTGCTCCGATGGCGGTGTTGCATCCTGGCTGCAGGCAGCGGAGCTTCGTGAGGATGTGGGATTTCTGCTGCTCGTAATCCCCAGAGTTGATATCGGCCTCCTGTCGTTGTAAGGCTACAAGGTCTGTCGTGACGGCGTTGTGGGCAAGGTCCATCGCATGCTGTCGGACTGCTTGTAGCCGTGGCGAGAGACGAGCATTCGGGTCGGCGCCGGGGGATATTGTAACGAGGTGGGGGTAAGCATTCAAGCACCGCTGTTTCGCTGGTACGGCTATACGTTCCGCTGCTCGTGTGTACGCCATTGTCCAGCCCAGGTGATCGTGCGGGTCGTCGGAGGGGGCGTCGAGTCCTTCTTGGTGCATCTTCGCACTGTCACCATCAACGGTCAGGAGCCTCCGAGGGTCCCATCAGCACAGGCCCCCAGTACGCTCCGCATCCCCACCGTTGCACATTCGCACAGACTGACGCAAATAGCTTCCAAACCCACAGGCAAGCACGCGGAGGGCTCTGGCACTGGATCGGCAGATGGCCAGGCTGGGAAATACAGCCCAACGAGGAGGTAGAGCCTCATCCTCGGTCACGCAATTCGCTCGCTCACAGGTTCCCTCGCTCGTTCATCCACGCAACATGCAGAGGCGTTTGACCACAACACTGCAGAAGATTCTTAGCACCCCTTGCGGTCATGAGACCGTAAGACTGCCATCCATCCAGAGTGGCCTGGTGCCCTGCTAGTATGAAGGACCCGGACCAGGGCGGGGGCGAGTCGACAGGGCGGCGGCCAGGAGTCACGGGATATCGGACGACGGAAACACCATGGAGCCTCCCCTCCTTCCCTCCCCGCCCCCTCCCTCCTCCGCCTCCTCCCTCCCCCCATACCAATCGGTCGTAAGAAGTAGGTAGAAACATGAAGTAGGAAGGCGTTGAAAATAGACTCGGTGTCCGCCCGCCCCCCAAGGAGGACGGAAAAGGTGAAGCCACTCGATCATTGAAGAAGGAAGGCGCTCAAAGTAGATCGGAATCTGGGAATCCAAAAATACCCTATCTCAACGACCGATGGGTACCCCTGCCCCCGCAGCCCCGTAAAGCACCCCGCTTTGAGATGCGTGGCCACTGGGGCGGGGCGGGGCGGACGGTGGCCCCCCGGCAGCGACCCGCAGGGGGCGTGCGCCCGTCCCGAGGGCTTCTCTCTCGGAACCCGGGTGGAGGGCCACAGGCCACCTGCAGGCCTGCGACAGGACGCATCCCCCCAGAGGGAGCGACGGGGAACGGGCGCACCCTACCCACAGGGGGGCGGGAGGAGGAGGAGGAGGAGGAGGAGGAGGAGGCGGAGACGGAGGCGGAGGCGGAGGGAGGAGGAGGTGGAGGAGGAGGAGGAGGAGGAGGAGGAGGAGAGGAGGAAAAGGAGGAGGAGGAGGAAAGGAGAAGGAGGAGAATGAGGAGAAGGAGAATGAGGAGGAGGAGAGGAGGAGGAGGAGGAGGGGAGGAGGGAGGGGGAGGAGGAGAGGAGGAGGAGGAGGAGGAGGAGGAGGAAAAGGAGGAGGAGGAGGAGGAGGAGGAGGAGGAGGAGGAGGAGGACGGGGAGGAGGAGGAGGAGGAGGAGGAGGAGGAGAGGAGGAGGAGGAGGGAGGAGGAAGAGGAGGAGGAGGAGGAGGAGGCAGAGGAGGCGGAGGAGGAGGAGGAGGAGGCAGAGGAGGCGGAGGAGGAGGAGGAGGAGGAGAAGGAGGAAAGCGCGCCTCCACGGGGGGGGTCGGATCCCGACCCCGCGCGGAGCAGGCCGCGGCAACGCGCGGCGGGCCCACCGTGGGCCGCGGCCTCCGCGAAGGCCGACGTGGTGGCCTACCCCCTCGCCACGCAGGGGGACTGCCCGCGCAGCCCAGGGCATGCAAATCCAGGCCACTGGCGCCCACGGGAGGAGGAGGAGGAGGAGGAGGAGGAGGAGGAGGAGGAGGAGGAGGAGGAGGAGAAGCAATGACGACGACGACGACGACGACGACGACGACGACGACGACGACGACGACGACGACGACGACGACGACGACGACGGCCAGGCAGGCAAGCAAGCAAGAAGCCGTGCGCGTCAGAGGTGCGTTGGCAACAGGGTGAAGCGGAGATGATTGGGCGAAACAACGGGCGTGCGAAACACGGCAACGGACGGAGGAGGAGGACGAGGAGGAAGAGGGGGAGGTCAGACGAGGTGGAACCCGGTCAGCGTGCCCCAAATCCTGGCGAACTGGTGCTGGGCGCGCTCCAGGGACTCTGGCCTCGTGATTCGATGCGAGCTCCCCACGGCCTCTGACGCCAGAGGGGGGGGGGGGGACAGTGGAGGCCCGACCACAAGAAACCTTCCACAAAAAACCCAATCCTGAGACCCCAGGACGTCCACTGATATTTGGTGTGCGAACGTCGCGCCTTCCCTCAGCAAAACCATCGAAACCCAAGAAACCCAGGGCACCCTGGAGGCAAGCAGGGTGTCTGTTGGCATGGACCCCCACTGCAGGAAGCAATGCGGAGGAGGAGGGTCAAGGTCAGGCCCAGCGCCCTCGAGCTGCCAACGGCCTCGGCTCGCGAGCTTTTTCGCCGGGCGCGCCAAGCGGGCGTGCCAGAGCCTCTCAGCGGGCCCTGGCAACGACAAGGCCGTTTTTGTCACCGGTTTCGTTTTTCCCGATTCTTCCCAAAGAATGCTCGCACTCAAGGGTTTCTTCGAGGCTTTGGAGGTAGCTGAGCTCCAGTGGCCCTCAAGCGGCCTCCAAACTGCCTCCAAGAGACCCCTGAGATGCCCCCACGAGATCCCAACGAACATCCACGTGGCTTCAGACCTACAACCCAAGCACGGTGGCGGGATGAGCCGAAGGCCATCAGATCCGCCGCCCCCTGTCGATTCATCGCAGGGGTGCCTGGCGTGCTAGATGAATTCGGTTTTGGTTTTGGTTCTTTTCCAGAAGAACTCGCCCTGGGGCTCCAGCGCGTCCCGCTGGCGTCCCAGGAAGGATCTCAAAACGCATCCGTCGATGCCTTTGTTGCCCCAAGTTGGCTCAAGATGGTCTCCAAGACGGCCAAGATGGCCCAGGATGGCCTTCAAGTTCGCCAAAGATGGTCCACGATGGCCTCCAAGACGGCCCAAGAGGGTCCAAGATGCCTTCTAAATCGTCCAAGAAGCCTCAAAGCGGGCCAAGATGGCTCCAAGATGGCGTCAAGCTAACCCAAGAGGGTGCCAAGAGGTCCCCCAGGAGAGCCCGAAGAGGCCAAAATCATTGATGTCCCATTGGTTTCTTTTAATGGTTTTGACATATGCTTCTTTTAAGCCTTCCCGCTGTCCAAGACGGCCCAAGAAGCCCCCAAGATCGCCCCCAGAGCACCCACGAGGCCTCCAAGATGACCCCATGACGGCCCAACAAGAGGCCCCCAAGACGGCCCCAAGAGGGCCCCAAGACGGGCCAAGAGGCCTCCAAGACGCCCAAGATGGCCTCCAAGCCGGCCCCGAAGCGCCCCAAGAGGGCCCCAAGCCGGTTCAGAGAGGCCCCCAAGACGGCTCCCGACGGCGTCAGACGGGCCAGGAGCCCACCAAGATGGCCGAAGTTGGCTCGAAGCTGGCCCAAGACGGCCCAAGAGGCCTCCAAGAGGGCCTCCAGGAAGGCCAGAAAAGGTAAAAAAAAAAACACTGATGTTCCTAAGGTTGTTGAAGGATTTGGACGTCCCGAGATCTTTTCAAGGCGGGGACTCCGATGAACGAACGGCTGCGCGTCTTGGCGCTCAGCTGTGAGGCACCATCAACTCAAAGAGAAAAATGAGACTGAGCATGTGTCACGCATGCTAGAGAGGGTTCGGGGGGGCGGGGGACCAGAGAAGCTAAGTGAAGCAAGTGAGAGAGCCAAAGGGGCGACATAATGAAAACCCCTCTTGACTTCCTTCACGTGCAAGCACAAACCAGGACGTCCCGAGATCTTTTCAAGGCGGGGACTCCGATGAACGAACGGCTGCGCGTCTTGGCGCTCAGCTGTGAGGCACCATCAACCCAAGCCGTTCCCAAGAATGTTTACTGGGTGGGCGGGCAAGGGCGATTATATAAAGACGCGCGCCATTCACTCAAGAGGACTTTGGCAAGCTTCCTATTGAGGGCAGGCGGATAGGCAGCAGCGATAGCGGTCCATTTCGCACCATTCGGGGCGTTGCCCTCAAGCACAATGTGTTGACGGCCAGACTTGTTACAGATTCCGTTGATCTGGGCACACCGTCGATCGAGACAGCTACTATCCTGGATATCTATGTTCAGACACAAAAATCGCGTCCGCTTGCGCCAACGAGCACCCTCCTGACACTGGTCGAGACATCTTACGTTGGCCCCCCGATCTATAAACCCCTGAACCTCTCTCGCGACAAACACGCGTGAATTCACAGGATGTTCGAGTATGCAAGGAACTCTGAATTTCTCACAACATCTGATGATAGACAGCGCAGCACGCATGGTCTTATTGCCAAGCGCCAGGCGAGCAAGCTGCTTCGTATTCAAAAGATGTGGCGGGAGTCCCCAGGGCTGCGATGCCGAGCGGATGGCCCCCACACGGTCCGCAGCAGTGGTCCAGGGCCCACAGGGCGGTGCCAGCATCACAGCTAAGACACGGCCAGCGGCAATGTCCGAGCACAGCCCACGCAGGACCTTCCGTCGGAGCAGGTCGCCGCCTGGCCCGTGCAGCGTGTCCCAGAATCTGGCTGGCACGCCCATCACCATTGCAGCACGCCCCACGCCTCCTTTGCCACTGAAGCAGTCGGCTAGGCACTGGCCCGTTAGGCGTGGTCGAGCTCCCGCAAGTCGACCGGCGAGGCGCGCCCCAAAATGATGTCCGCGAGCTGAGCCTCGCAGACCAGGAACACGTTTTGCCGCGCGCTGCTCAGTGTCGCCCACGTGGCTGCCAGGCGTGCATGCTTCTCGTAGCGGACCACGCTGCGGTTGGTCTTCCACTGCCCGCGCTTCTGCACGTCGGCCAGCCGTCTCCACCTTCTCGCCATGTCTATCGAGGCCCCCGAGTGGCGCATCTGGTACGGCACCACCTTGGCCTTCACCTGCAGGTCTTGAAGGCACAGGCTGAACATCTTGCAGTACTCTGGGTACGTGAAGTTCCACAGGCACTCGGGGTGGCCCTCTTTCTTCATCTGGCGCAGCACAGGGTCCAAGAAGCGAATCCAGGGCGAGTCTAACTCTAGCGACACGTCCCCCAGGCCCGTCTTGTCCCTCAGGTCCTCCTCCTCTGGAAAGAGCCTCAAGGTCCAGAACTCGCACACTCCCGGCGCTGGCGGCACCAGGCAGGCCGGCTTCAGGAGCAAAAGGCTGCTGGGGCGGGCATACACGCTGACTGCTATCAACGTGAACACCGCCATCTGAAGACTGCCACGGGCCTTCATGCGCCACGCCATGGCGCACCACAGCGCCAGCGCCCACGGCTTCCTCGTCCGCGGCGGCTCCAGGCGCCGCCAGGCCCGGAGGCACCTCCAGCCCCGGGGGAGGCGCCGAGCACCGTAGCGCGAGAAGTCGGGGTTGAAGTGCAAGACCCCCGCCATCAGCTTCTCGGCCCAGGAGAGGTGAGTCCCAGCATGGTACAGGCCGTTCAGGTAGCTCACCAACGCCGAGTCTACCTCGGAATCGTCTCTGCTCTTCATGACCTCGTCGATGTCGACCGAGGGCCAGCTCCGACGGGCAAAGTCCCGCCATCCGTCCCAGGCCCTCTGGTACTCGCGCTGCGTCGGGGTCCGCACGGCCTCCCGCTCCAGGAGAGAGAAACCCTCTTCGCCGGCAGGCATCCCGTAGTGGCGAGCACGGCGCTTCTGCGACTGCGCGAGCCTGCGCAGCCGCGCGGCGCCGGTCACGACCTCGGGCTCGGAGCTCCCGCTGTCGGAGGAGCCGACGCTCTCTCGCGCTCCCCGAGCGGGCTCCGCAGGCACAAGCACCTTCGTCAGGTCCTCCACCACTTGCCCCAGGCTCCGCGGCAGGGGTCGGCTCAACACAGCCGTCTTCAAGAGCCCCGACTCGCCCAGCTGACGCTCCCGCCGAGCTGCCGGCAGCGGCAGCGGCGCTATCGGCGGCGCAGGGACCAGCTGCCGCGTGCGCCTCACCCCCTGGCCGCGGGCCGGCGGCTGCAGGCCAGGCTCCGGGCGAGACGGCGCCAGCAGCCTCGTGCGCCGGCGGCTCGCCCCAGGCCGCGCACCTCGCCGGGCCTGCTGGGGGCTCCGAGAGCGCTCCCGCCCATCTGGCGCTCGAGGGCGCCCAGGCCGCATCGCGGGCCGCGACGCCATCGGCCGCCCGCTCGGGCTCGGCCCAGGCGGAGACCCGTCCTGGGCTCGCCTGGGAGCCCTCGAGCTCCAACAGCTCAGCCAGAAGAGTAGACTTTGCGCCGCCAGGATCGAACAGCCGCGAGGGAAGATCGGCACAGTTGAGCTCACTGGGTATCCAACGAATCGAACAACGAATGTTTCGGCTCAAACAGACAGCGTGAAATCGACGAATCTGGACCAACAAATTCAAACACGAGCTCCTTCCCCGATTGAAGCTTAGCACGACCGACATATTGTCACAGAGCAGCAATTGACGTATATGGGACCCAAAGACCGTAGTGGCGATACGATGAATGCTGCTGACCAGGGCTCGGGCCTCCAAGGTCAAGATGCCCTCAGGGTGCTGCCAGGCTCTCGCGAAACAGGGCTCCCAAAGGCCTGCGCGGAGCCCCTGGGCGGGCACCTCCGGGAAGTCCCTCACGACGTCCCACTGGCCCAGCTCCTCCTCGTCCTCGGGAAGGCCCTTGAGTTCCCATTTTCCATTCTCACTCATGCTGAAACCAGCTGCACAGAGCGCCGCCTCTCGAGCACTGTGGGCGCAGCGCCGGCGGAAGCGGGCTCGCTCAGGCACGCGTCCGACTGACTCCACCAGCTCCTGCGGCCAAAAGGCTCTTGCCAGCCCGTAGCCGTGAAGACTGGCGTCAGACTGCTGCGCCATCGGATTCCAAGGCAGCCACCAATCTGACTCCAAAAAGTACATCAGGGAGCTGAAGGCGGCCAGCTCTCGCCGAGCTTCGGCCCATAGCACGGCCGCCTCGTCGTAGTGGGCTCGCACAAAGCCGTACACTGAATTGAAAGCTGACAAGGTGCCGCGCGAGCAGAGGCCACAAAAGGTTAGATGGCCCAGCACCGCCTCCACGGCCCACCCCTTGACACGGCGGCGGGCTAGGAGGCCTCGCACGGCCTGGCGGCAACGCCAGAAGCGATCACTGGTCACACGAGTGCGCAACCGACTGCCGTCGATCTCCGTGCCAAGCGCCACTGCCATGCCCGGCACCAGCTCGTCCTTGTGCAACAGTAGGTTCAGCTCGGTGAACTCGCCCGTCAGCTGGTTCATCACGCCGCTCACAAGCTCAGAGAACAGCGAAAAGACCCCCAAGTTGTCCACGTACACATAGTGCCTGACCTCCTTGGGCGCCCCGCCGGGCGCGAACACGAGCGGCGGCCCATCTGACAAGCTGGGCCCCGAGAGGAGCGCGCTGCTGCGGCGGCTTACCTCCTCGTTTGCCCGCTGGGCGAAATAGAGAGACCAGCTGAAACCCATGGGCAGAACCTGCCAGCAAGGATAGATGGCCGTCGACGTCCGTACCTTGGTCCCCTCGACCTCGGTCACGCCGAAGGCCCCAGCCTTGACCGGCGGCAGGCAAAAGTACTGCGAAAGGGCTGAATCGATACGCATTCGATGAAAGCAGTCCTTCACGTCCGCCATGCCGATGTACACCTGCTGCCCCTGCAACGCGGCGCGGAGGTCCTCGTAGCTCGAGAAGCCAGCGTCTGGCATCTGCACCTCGATCCTGGCGAGGCCCTCGCTGCTCAGTAGCTCCACCCCGGGCGGATCTCTGAAGTGGGCGTTCGCACGGCGGGCGTCGACTATGAGACGAAGTCGGCGCCGCCCATCCTCCCACACAAAAAACATCCCAATCCTCTCTTTCGGTGTCAGAGTCCACCCCAGGATGCCAGCTGACAGCGGCCGACGTACCAGGCCGCGGTACTCCTTGTGGTTGAACTTGAGGACCGAGTCGAAGTACGGCTCGACGTCGGTCGGCAAAGGTGTCTCTCGTAACATGCGCTCTTGGCGCTCCTGCAGGAAGGCAAGGGCCTCGACAGGCAAGAGGTCCTCCAGACGCGGGCAGTCGCTCACGTCCGTCGGCATGCTGACGAGCCCTGCACTGTAGGAGGCGACCGTCGTCGGGCCGCCGCGCCCATCGTATGGCGAGCGACCCCGCAGCAGCTCCCGGAGGGCCGCCTGCGGCCCCTGCAACTTGGCGTCCGGCTGCCGGCCCCGCACGAGGCCCTCGAAGCGCTCAAGCACATCCCGCTGCATGTCATTAGCTGGGCCAGGATGTGAGTCGTAGCCCGACATCCAGTTGATGGCATCGACGATACCGTTGACCTCCGACGCAATCCGACCCTCTCGACCGAACTGCCTCGCCCTGCACGACCTGCCGCGAATTCGGCGGCCTGCGTCGCCCAGCAGCGGGAGCGGCAAGAAACTGCGGGCTCCACGCGAGGGCGGCAGTCGGCCACCGTCGTGCCCCGGCAAAAAGGGCCCGGGGGTGGGGCTGGAGCCCCCGGGCCCGGGGGCCGTCATGGCCCCGTGGAGGCGACGCCCCTGGCCCGGCCGCGCCCGCGGCCGCCTCGGCCGCCACCACTCCCCGCGCCTGCTGCGTCACCTCCAGCTCCTTCTGCTCCGTCGACTGTCTCTGCAGGCGCCCCACGTAGCGTACGCGCCCGACCTTGCGCCTGCTCTATCTCATGCTGTTCCTTCGCCCGCCGGTGGACGCAGCCCCTGAGCTCTGGCCCCGAGACGTCTTCCACCGAGCTCACGCCCTCGAAGAAGCGTGCGTTCGTCCAGCTCGGCTTGGTCGGGTCCGAGTAGGCATCCACCACAGCGGCGACACGGCGAGTCAACACCTCCACCATCATGAGGCCGCCCATGTTCAGCTGATCGTATACCCCGCCCTGGTACAAAGCCTCCACGATCGTCCTCAGCTCGTGCACCACGCGGTCATTCTGACCCAGGCCCTTCATGCGGATGAAGAGGTCGAGCCAGAGCCGCGGGTCGCCTCCGTGCCTCTCCATGTGCTTCAGCATGTGGAGAGCCCCCGGCGGTCCGTCCACCTTCGCGTCCGGGTAGTGCTCCTGCCTCGACTCACCTACCACGTCCCGCCATCGTTTGAACCGCTCGCCCTGCTCGTCGTAGTCGACCCAGAGCGTGCGGGCGTCGGCGTCTCTCTCCTCCCCCAGCGGCTCCGCCACGGGAGGCAGCGCCAGCTCGGGCGTAGCCGTGCCGCCGACAGGCTCAGCGGGCCCATCATCCTCGAATGGCCCCGCGGCCTCAGCGCGTCGGCGCTCGGGGCCCGTGGCACGG